GGGCTATCAGTCTGACCCAGAGTTTGCTACGTTGTATGCGCAACTATCTTCGGATCACCCGCCGGCCAGCCACTATCGCATTGCCGACGGGTACTTGCTCCTCCACTCGAGAGGCAAGGACTTACTATGTGTCCCACGCGACCGCCGTCTTCGGACTCGGCTTCTCGGTGAGTATCATGATTCGCGACTCGCCGGCCATTTCGGAGTCAATCGCACGATTGCACGGCTTCGACAACGATTCCGAAGGCCCGACCTCATTTCCGATGTCATGCGGTATTGCGATTCTTGCGAAGTTTGCCGACGCAGCAAACCCCGCAACCGCAATCCCTATGGCGAGTTACGCCCAATGCCTATCCCCCGGGAACCCGGTATCTCCATTGTTATGGATGTCACCGGTCCGTTTCCTCGAGACCGGCTCGGGCACGACGACATCCTCACGGTTGTGGACCGATCGAGCGAGTACGCACATTTTCTTCCTTGCAAGTACTACTCCACGGCTCCCGAGCTGGCACGCCTCTTGCACACCGGTTGGATTTATGGCCACGGCGTACCCGAGGACATAGTCAGCGACCGCGACACTCGTTTCATGTGAACTTTTTGGACCTCTCTCATGCAGGAGTCGGAGACGACGATGAAACCCAGTTCAGCTGGGCATCCACAGACAGAAGGGCAGACGGAGCGGGCTCATCAGACCGCTCAAATGATGCTTCGTACGCTCATCCGTTCGGACCAGAAACATTGGGTTGACCGCCTCCCCGACATCGAGTTCGCCTACAACACTTCAGTGCGCCCGGCGATCGGTGTGACTCCATTCGAGTTGCACCACGGTGGACGGAAAGGCCGTATCTTCGCTGATCTTCTCCTCCCTCGACCAGCCGACATTGACGCCGCTTGCTCTCCCGCTTCCGTCCGGAAGTACAGGGAATTGCTGGCTCAAGCCCGCGCAAACATGCAAAAGGCTCARCTCCGCATGCAGCAGCAAGCCAACAGGCGCCGCGTACCATGTCCCATCCGCGCCGGAGATCGAGTTTGGGTCTTCTCGGAAGAGTTTGCATTGGAACAGGATGTCTCACGCAAACTACTCTCTAAGTGGTTTGGACCATGTACAGTGACATCAGCCGCGGGCGATGAGCCCGATGGCCCTTCATTTGTGATCGACATTCCTTAGCATCTGACGGTCCATCCAGTCTTTCACGCGTCGAAGCTGGCAACATATACACTAGCTAAGAGCGATGACTTCCCGGGCCGACGATCGCAGGACCCTCCTTCTATGGATGGTCATCAGGAGGTTGACCGCGTCATCTCAGATCGCAAGTATGGCAGCAAGCCGCGCCAGTACAAAGTTACATTCAGAGCATGCGATCCTGACGACACTCGGTGGATTTCAGGAGCAGATTTGAAAGCGTCTGCACCGCTGATCTACGCTCACTACGAGCGACAGAGGTTAGCCAAGGGACCTCCACGACCTGCCCATCCCACCCGGACTGTGGTCCCTCCCTCAGACAGACAGCTTCGCCCTCGTAGGTAAGCTCGGTCTTTCAAGGAGGGGGGGGTGTGACATACTGTGCAGCCACACGGGCCCTGCAGGGCCCGTCCCGGACCTCCAGCCTGTTTCCCTACAGGGAAACTTCCAGGCTCTTGCCTGGAAGCTTCCTTCTGACAGGGCCTACAGGCCCCAGCCTGTTTCCCTACACGGAAACTTCCAGGCTCTTGCCTGGAAGCTTCCTTCTGACAGGGCCTACAGGCCCCAGCCTGTTTCCCTACAGGGAAACTTCCAGGCTCTTGCCTGGAAGCTTCYATCTGACAGGGCCTACAGGCCCCAGCCTGTTTCCCTACAGGGAAACTTCAGGGAACTTCCAGGCTCTTGCCTGGAAGCTTCCGCAGGGTCTAGGCCAGGGAGGCATTGGCACGRCCARCCTCCTGCACGGGCCAGCACTATAAAGGACTGGCCCGCCCTGCAGGAGGGAGTGGTCAGTAGGCACTTGTAGTCTTCAGGATTTCGGCCGCARCACTCAGGAGGAGCGCTGCAGTAGTCTTCWGCGCTAGGCAGTAGTGGTAGCGCTAGGRRWAGTCTTCGRCGCTGGGGGCCATAGCCATAGTTGTCGTCTTCAGCGCTGGGCGCTATAGGGCAGGGTAGCAGTATCGGAGAGAGACACTGGCGGAGGCCAGTGGTACTTACCTGTGGCGCCATCGYTCCAGCTCCATCCKCGGKGTACCTGCATCAARACGCCAGTTTTACAGRTTRGTATTGGACTGAGAGAGAGAGAGAGAGAGAGACCTTCTTCTTCCTCTTCTAAGTCCACCATCTCTTCTTCCCCTCCCGCTGCCTGCCTCTCAGCGTCTATGGGCTACAAGATGGTGTTTTGACATAGGACATGACGACATTGTCATCAGACTTGATTTCCGGGATACAGACATTCGTTGAGGATTATTTGGGACCTGTGACGCAGACTTGGAGTTGACGATATCTCCCATCTTCTCCTCTCCCTCTGTCTCTTCCCTTCCCCCTTCGTCTGTGTATGTTGGGGTCTGGCGCTATCTATTCTGTGTGAGCGTCAGCCCTTCACACCATTGTATGATGATGATAAATGTCGGGACTGTACTGCAACATTGATTGAGTCGGATCATTGATAAGTCTTCCGCTCGCCATCTTGTACTTTGAAATGAAAGGTCGGTTCTTGTTCTGTTTTGCATGATCTAGTATGCAACACCGGGCCACCCGGGAAAATAGGGTGACCCGGTCGGTCCGACTGGTATCCTAGCAAAATAAATAAACAAAAATATAGTCTTGTAGATATTTTGGAGGTCTATGACCCCATTTTTTTTATTGTTTTTTTTGTAAAGTTTGTATATATTTTAAAAAATAAAAAACATAAAAACCATGGTAAGCCCGGACCCGGACACCGGACACTTCCGGACTGTCCTCCGGACCAGTGTCTGGACCGGTTCTGACTGTCTGGTGATCCGGACATCACCGGACACTGGACAGTCCGGACCGGTCCCCGGGGTGCAAAAATGTCCGGACCCAAAAAAAATTGCCAGACGTACAGTGCCCTGTTATTCCTGCAAATTCGAAACTCAACACAACACTCCCGCATGCTAGTTATTTTTGATAACTTGTATTTTGGAAAAGTGGTGATCAAAGAAACAAGTAAAAAAATCCTAGTGCGAGTATGCGCTCTGAGCATCTCGGCTACACCTGTATGCATCTGGCCACAATTCCGTCCAGAAACAAGTAAAATAGTCCTAGTGCGAGTATGCCCTGATCAGTTGTCTTTTTCATCGACTGACATCCAGAGCCTAAGGAATGGACGTTACCATCCTGCGAAACCATACCCAAGGGAACTTAACCATACCCAAGGGAACTAAACCATACCCAAGGGAACTAATAGGCGGGGAAAGGAGACCCTGTCACAGACTCACAGTTGGAAGAAAAATTTAAAGAAGAAGAACTTCAAGAAGTAACGGCGGTTTTGGGAAAAGTCATAAAATGTCCTCGCGACGAAACCTTTGTAGGCGCGTAAAGTCCCTGAGGAATTGTTCGTTCCACCTATGGTCGGGGATGAAGTCAGAAAAGAAAAGTGAAAACACTCGGAAGGAAATTCCTTGGGCTCCGAGGATTCCCCAGACTTTTCTTCCTTTTGCCCAAGGGAGGAGGTCCCTTGGGCAAAAGGAATCCGCGTTTCACGGAGAGGAGCGGGCACATGGGTAGAGAGACGTTACAACCGAGAATCTGGATCGTGGTGGCACACTATTGGCTGAAGGCCTCAAACACATTTGATTTGTTTTTCTTTTCTTTTTTCTTTTCTGACATCCCTCGAAGGAAATGTCCTCGGGCGACGTCCCTGAGGACAAGTGGAACGAAGGGCCCAAATTTCCTTTTGAACCAAAAGGAATTTTTCCTTTTGCCCGAGGATTTCAATAGGAGTGTCAAACGAGCCCCTAATTTTGTATCCATTTCCCCCCAAAACGGGGAAAAAGGTGCCGCAGGCCCGAAAATCACTTTCCGTGTCAGTTTTGTACCCTGCAGAACACATTCCCGCCATTTTTACGCAGCGGCCGTTATCGGCCCAGACAGGGTGCAAAAACAAACACCAAAAGTGATTTTCAGACCTGCGGCACTTTTTTCCTCGTTTGGGGGGAAATGGATACAACAAAGGTTTCGTAGCGGGGAGGTTTTATGACTTCTCCCGGCGGTTTTCTTTGCTGAAGCGTGTTTTTTTGCCCATTCTATACTCAAATTTAAGGTGACATGAACATACTTACCTCAAAATAAAAGGAAAATCCCCTTGTTCCACAGACCTCTTGATTTTGAACCTGAGCATCTTTTGCTGGCTGTGTACATTGAGTTCCACGCACTCAGCTGCAGTTTGTGTCGGTGATTGAAAAACTCTGATCCATACCTGCGGCGCACCTGTGAGGTGCACAATGCGGTGTGGGCCGCTGTGCGCTGTGTGCACGCCCCCGGTGCGCGCGCACCGCAGCGCACTCTGTGCACTGTGTTAGGGTGCGCTGTGCGCCGGGTTCCGGGGGGGTGCGCTGGGGTGGCGCATGTGTGCTGGTAGTGCGCCACAATTTTTTTAATTTTATATTTTTCCTTGGTTCGGTGCAGATGCAGCAATGTGCCTCGACCCCTTGCCCGGATCCGCGCCATGGGGCCCGTGGTCCGTGAAGTGTCTCTTCAACACTGTCACATTGTGTTTCTGCGCCATTTCGCCCTGCAAGCAAAACCCCACAGCGAAGGTTGTGTCAGCCCCTTCATCAAAAACTCTCTAAAACCACCTCAGACAGCCCTCTCCCACCCACCCCCTTCCCCCCAGTGCCCCCACCCCACCTCCGCCCCAAACTCTACAGCAACCCCCACCCACCGCCACCCCCAACTCTACAACGCCCCTCTCCCACCACCGAAGAACGGAAATTTAAAGCAGGCTAGAAATTCCAAAAAAAATAAAATAAAATAAAATTGTGTGGTGGAAGAAGATGGTGCACCGCATCCGAGGGAGGAAGGAGGAGAGGGTGAATGACGGAGGGAGGAGGGAGTAGATGAAAGATGGCGGTCGAAAATGGCAGAAGGAGGAGGGAGGGGATCATGGTGGTTGGGGGAGGAACGAGGGAGGAGATGAAAGATGGCGGTTGGGAGGAGGGATGGCATGGTGGTTGGCGGAAAAACGAGGGAGGGCGTGAACGATGGCGGAGGGAGGAGGGAGGAAATGAAAGATGGTGGTAAAAAATGGCGGTTGGGAGGAGGGAGGGCATGGTGGTTGGCGGAAGGACGAGGGAGGAGATGAATGATGGCGGAGGGAGGAGGGCCGGTGGAGGTTAGAAATTGCGGAGGGAGGAGGGAGTGGATGGTGGTTGTTGGAGGGAGGAGGAAGGAAATGAAAGATGGCGGTTGAAAATGGCGGAGGGAGGAGGGAGGGCATGGTGGTTGGTGGAGCGGACGAGGGAGGAGATGAACGATGGCGGAGGGAGGAGGGAGGAGATGGAAGATGGTGGAGGGAGGAGGGAGGGGATGGCGGAGGGAGGACGCCGAAGATGGGGGAGGAAGATGATGGAGGGAGGTGGAGGGGATGGAGAAAGATGGGGGAGAAAGATGGCGAGAGGTGGAGCGGATGAGGGAAGTTGGGTTGACGTGGAGGGAGGAAGGACGGGAGATGGCAGAGGGAGGAAGGAGGAGGGAGAAGGGAGGAGGTTGTGGAGAAAGATGATGGCGGGAGGTGGAGGGGACAAGGGAAGTTTGATTGTGGAGGCAGAGCCGTTAAAACTAGTGGAACATGGCAGGGGGGAGGGAAGAAGATAGCGGGAAGAGGAGGCGGTAGACTGTGGAGGGAGGAGGGAGGAGGTGCAGGATGGTGGAGGGAGGAGGTGCAAGATGGTGGAGGAAAGAGGGAGGAGGTGGAAGATTGAGGAGGAAGATGACTATGGGAGTTGTAGTGGATGGTGGAAGTATCACGGGGAGGGAGTCGGATGATGGCAGGTGGTAGAGGGGATGGACGATGGCGTAGACGCCGGCAGCTGGAGAAAGGAGAGCCGCCATGAAATAATTGGCACAACGCAAAAAAAAAAAAAATGACGTGAGAGAGAGAGAGAGAGACAAA